TTTTTATAACTTTTGTATTAATGCCTTTTTATTTTATTATTTTACTTCCAAATCTGAAGTGACTAATTTGTGAAGACACTTTAACATAAAATGGCGGCATAGTAAAATACTGATCTGTCTGCATATATTCAATTTACCAGAGGATTTTTTTAAGAATACAAAGTGTCTTTATCTAATAGGTCAGTTACCTCCACATCATACCATATGATATGCCACTGTGGTTTTTGCACTGTGTACCAATTTTTTTTTTTTTTTATCAGAATTGAACGTTTGATGTTTCTCTATATGTACTTCTTAGCTTGATGATTCTGAGTGGTCGTCGTACATTCTATATTTGGCTTAGAATCGAACACGGTGATCGTCACTTGAAGAGTAAACAAAACAGGGTCATTAGAACATTGACTTGTAAGCCGACGAAAAGCAATTTAATTAGAACATGATGGGAACTATTTACAGTGAGCGATTTTATGGATTACGTGATCTACCACTTTTTGACGGTCTGGCAATTATGAAGGGCGCAGGTTACAGGAAATAAAAAATGCATTTTACGTTTTTACATGATATAAAAAGGAAAGTTACAGTAAGAAATAATGTTTTACACTTTACAGATAAAGCAAATTCCTAATTACATTTTATAATATACTTAATTTGTGTTTAAGAATCAAAATTGGAAGTTGTGTACGAATTACGACATTTAATGTTGAAAATGCGTTATACGCTTACAAAAAGTAAGACCTTTGTACAAATTACGAACAAATAAAATAGCTGATTTCATTTTACACCTTCTCCATGTCTACGAGTTTACGTTTTTCATTTATTTAAATTACATTATTGCGAAAATAAAAACAATTGACTACAGCTTACGAAAATACCTTTTGCCGACCCTCAATTGTGTTCACAAAAGATGTGGGGGAGATAAAAGATGGAATTTATCACACTTTAAACTCTATTAGGTAAAAACCTACTTATATATTTGAGAAAGTTTAGTATCATAAAGCGCATGACAATCTTCTTGGTTTATTACGTATAATAATAATAATAATAATAATAATAATAATAATAATAATAATAATAATAATAATAATAATAATAATAATAATAATAATAATAATAATAATAATAATAATAATAATTTTAGGATAACACTAAAAGTTCACAATCCGGGCAGTCACGGGAAATATTTTTTTTGGTCAACATCACCAGTCGGGGACAAATCGAGATATGCCATAATATCTCAACCATATAAACCAATGGTAAAAGCGTTCTATTCTGACAAAATGGCCGACATGCAGTAAAATGTAACCATCATTTACACGAAAAACATGCCAGTTCCCCCCCCCCCCCCAGACTTACATTACAATGTCAGTGACGGTAAAACAAATAATTTTACGCCGATGCTGTAGAGGGCGCACTGTAATCCAAAACACATGCAAAAAACATGGCGGCGATCAGTTGCAGAACATGCTTTCGAAATATTCGTTTTTGTCGAAATGTGTCCCACCATGGTAGAAGGCGGGCACAGACGACTCGACATCTATGTAGTTCAAGTGGCGACAAAGATGTTAAGGGTACGTATCATTGTTTCCCTGAATCTTGATCCATGCAACCTGATCGAGGTTGAATAGTACTAAGAAACCCTAAAATAATGGAACTCTGAAAGCAAACCACTCATTTTTAACGTCAACAATGTTCGCATATATCTTCTAAGAGGTTAGTGTGGTCTTGTTTTTTGTTGATTAAACCCGGCGATTTTCAGTCAAGCCGTAAAACCCAGGGGACGATTGTGGTTACATTGACTGACCTACTGCACAGTTCGTCAACACTAAACCGCGATTTAATAATATCTAATCTAAGATTGTATGGATTAGGTTTATACACGGTTACTAGTAACCGTGGTTTATATAAAAGCGTAAGGTAAGGTATATATATAACCCGTACCATAATACATTGTCCCTTTCTCCAATATTAGGCTATAAATCAAGCTACAATTTGTATGATGTTATTTTTACGTGTACTAACCTTGAATTTAATTCAATTTAAATTAATTGCAAGACTTGCGTTTTTATTGGTTGAAATTTAATTTTCACCCAATTGTGTTTTCCATAACAGATCATGATCCACCAGCCTTCAATGATGCCACAGTTCAGAAATTACTGAAGCGTATCACTGGTATGAATTTTGAGAAAATTTTCCCAAGAGTGAAACAGAAACTGTCCCCTCCAAAGTACAAACTTGTCAGCGAGGACAAACTACAAGAGGTAAATCATTTTGTAAGAATGATTACAAAGATGAGATATTGTAAAAGTGTTATTCTGATATTTTATGTCATCAAAATCGCTACAACCAATCATCTGCTCAGTGGCAAATCATGTGCCTAGCTAATTTGCATATGCTTAGTACTTGGCTTTGTGATTGGTCAATCACACCATTCTAAGTTTTGATCACTTTTACAGCTTTTGGAAGAAGCTAAAGAGAAAGCTGAAAAGAAGCTGCAAATGCCGCCAGTAATGGAAGAAAGAACCAAAATAGATCACGTGTTGTCTAATGATCCTGAACTTGAAGGTCTTGAAACATCAAAATTAGTATTTACCGATATTACATTTGGGGTTCCAGATAGGGTAAGTGTCATACATAATAATTAAATAGTCTATGTATAGGGTAGAGCCTGATTATAAAGACGCTTCTGGTATATGAAGTCTTTCCTGAAATAATATGACATTTTATTGCAGAGTGGACTTTGTATTTCAGAAAATTCTGAGTACAAGGCTTTATCAGAGTTACCTGTAAAACCTATCGTCCCAAACCATCTATAGAAATAGTGTTCTCTCCAGAAAAATGTCTAAGAGTGATGGCTAATTTGCATATTAATTTGCATAAATTTACATACTCATTAGCGCATGTCTGAAGATAAAGAAAACAATAAGGACAGGTTTGCATGGATGAAATTGTGTCTTTATTTTTTTTAACAAAATTATGTACAAAATTAAATAAATATTCCAGTTCAAGATAAATTTCATATTTTGAGAAAATTCTCATACTTTTGAAGGCAATATTTGTTCTATAAACTATTATTTTAGAACGTTTGTAATGGGAAAGGGGAACCATGCCCATATTTCCAAATCAAAATGCTGTAAATGTCTGATTGCTGTGTGTGTGAGTTTTACTCTTCACTGTTTTAAAAAAATGTTGAATACTGAAATTGTGGCAGGTGTTAAAAATGTTAAATTTGAATCATTGATGAAAAAGTCCAAACTTATGCAATAAAATATATAAACACTATGCAATTTATATGTGATACATGTATAGGCGGCTATGAAGATGACCATTCAGACTTGTTAACATCAATGTAATAATTATATTGTTACAAACTCCAAAACAGCAACAAACTGTAGATGCATTAATTATTTGCTGGG